AAATTCAGAACTAACGAAGCCCGACAACCAGAGTTTTGTTTACATAAATTAATGATGGCGAAAAATTTGTATGAAACTGGGCCAAAATAAGGGTTTTAGCAGTTAATATGCACGCACCGCGATGCCTCTTCTTCGTTGAAGCCCTGTATTTGTTACAGCTATTTGTCAAACTCTAATTCCATGAATTTACTTGTTCGTAATCAACTCGATCGCGCCACTCTCCAAAACACCGCCAGCAATATGGAACAAGGATAACGAACAACTATAAAGCGTAATAGCAGGGTAACTAAACTGGAAAAATACCGCGGTGCTAACTTAGTTGGGGGCCACGCGGCGGCGCGGCGCTTTGCTCGCCTGGCGCTCTCTCGAGCGAGATAGTGAACTCGAACATTCCAGCTTTTCACGCATGTCAAGTGACTGCCCTCACCCCCACCCCCTAGACTGCCTACACTCCCCCTGGCTCACGGATTTCCCGAAGTACGCAAATGCCAGGCGAGCAGACTGCCGCGCCGCCGCGTGGTCCCCCCCCCCCCCCAACTAAGTTAGCACCAATACCGCAACCAATATGGAGCATGGAAGGTGTCAGGAATGATAAAAACCCGAAACAGAAAAAAAACGCAATAGAACTCGTTTAGTCGTTATTTTCGATGCGCAGTACGCAAGGGCCAAACCGTACTCCACAATCTATTTGACGGCTAATCGTTACGAACTTGTTGAAAAAGGCCTGGGATTTGGCTCGGGTATATCTTTCAATGCAGTGCGTTAAATCTCGAGGTGTAGTATTATGAAGGGGGTCGTTGGCGCAATATGCTTCCGGGGAGGGAACAGTCTGTAGGAGGGCTACTACGACTAAGCGTAACGGTGAGGGACGAATTCCTGAAATAATGAGAACTGCTTATGCACCTCGGATTTCCTCTTCCAAGGTTCTCCCTTACGGCTTAGTTTAAAGACTGAGGCTTTCCGTGAAAATGGCTCAATGTAAGGAGCTGCCCCTCTGCCTCCCCTCTCCTCCGAAGCCACACTGCGCCGAATCGTGTCGGGCGATAGGGCGCATTCATAGTCGGTCGTCCGATCGTAACGATCGCACAGCATTGGATGCGTATCGATCGTCAGGCTTGCCTGAGGATTGGACGATCGATACGTATCTAATTGTGCGATCGTTACGATCGGACGACGACTATGGATGCGCCCATAGTTCGTACCGGCTGCAGTAATTCCAATTTTTGCAAGGGAGGAAATCCCCGGGATGCGGTGCGTGGACCACTTTGTTTCCGTTTTGACCCAACCCACAGCTTTCTTCCCTGCAAAAAAATGGAAGGACTGTCGGCAACACACTGATACACCACATGCTCACTCCGCTTATTGGAATAGACCGGAATCGTTCAGAAATCATGTGAAACCATGGCACTTCCTTCAGTTATGAACGTTTAGAAAAGGTAGTACTATCCTAGCCTCCTCTTTAGCGTGGAGAATTTGTTCATTCATTCGAAACATTTCAAAAATTGGGGTGACTGTGCGCGGTACTAACTATTGCTTTGAAAGGTCTATCTATCAAACTGAGGCCAAATAAATTCCCAGGGATTCAAAAATTGATTTATTGAGTATCCTGATCTTTTAATGAATTTTTGACTCTTCACTGTTGTTTGGGATCTTGCATGTAAAATTTCTTGTGGAGTTGGACGCAGGTGCAACCGTGAAGCTGGGCAAATATCAAAATTTTAACGACTATCTTTTGAATAATAGTAAGAATAAGGGCTGGACACGATATCCTTCATCAGAATCCCAATTTCCACTGCTACGAGCCTTCCGAAAATTTTAAAAATTGACCCTGGTTGAACACGACCAGGTCAATGATTTAACCTTAAAGGAAAATACTTTAGAATTGTTCTCTCCCGAAGTCTCATGTTGATCTAGATGTGTAATAAGCAATGTGAGACCTCAAAATTTATTGCAAAAGGACTGTGCGAATAATTTTTGAGGATGGTTTGAATTTTTAATTTCTTTCATTCTTTTAATCGGTGCTGGACTTGCGGTCTTATTTCAGCCATGTCCATATCAGCAGTCATTGCTCCTAACCTTCAGCTGTACAGGAGGCGTCTTGATGGACGCTCTGATATTGCTTCGCTTCCGAGCCTGTTCCTAGGTCGCGTCAGACTGCGTGCCTATTCACGCATTTCGGCAGAGTGGAAGCTGCCTTTCGTGATTCTTGTTCAGGGGCCAGCACTCGCTGCCGTAGAGCATCGCAGGCCTTACCACTGTTCGGTACACCTTCCCTTTGAGCGCTCTGGAGCACCTTCGGTCGCAGAGGATTCCAGTGGAACTCCCTCCATTTCATCCATGCCGCGTTGATCCTCCCCTCATTATCACTGATACCTTTTTCGACTTCAGACATGCTATCTTCACAGCTTTCTGCAAAACATCTCCTCTGAAAATGGAAATGTCACATATAATAGGCCCACTATGCCTGCTGAGAACTGTTCAAATTATTTATTTATTTATTACGAATTTAATAAGAATTCGGAAAATAACATTCATCTAATCTCACAATGTAGTGGATGAGATTGAGTACGTGGCGCATTCTGGGGTAAGTTTTGAGGCCCTTCTCTGTGTGTAGCGGTCAGCCCGCATAAGCGGGATTATATACACATCACATGCGAGCAACTACTTTTTGAGATGAAAATCGAGTGCATGGCGCAATCCTATATGGAGCTTTTCCAAAGTATCAAAGCACATTCTTATAGTGTCCGACGAGCTGAATTCAAAGATATCTTCGGATTCTCGAAAGCTCAATTTTGAACCGAGTTATAACGAATTCACGAAATTAACGAGGATTCGCGTTATTCGCGTGAATTTTCGATTTCAAACGGCGAGTACTGTAGGTAACGAATATTTATACTTCAGGAATCAATCTATGCTGAAAACAGCTTTTCGCCTAACCTGATGTCGTGGGCTAATTGGGAAAACAGGCGTCCACCTACTCGAAGATGCCCCGAGTGATGGAATATTACTACCACTCCTCAAACTCCACTTTTTTTGGGTTGACCAATCATGGACGACGGGGGAAAGGGGAGAGAAGGTGTTGTATTAGGAAATAATGGTTTGCAGATCTTTGGATGATGCAGACGGGCAAGCCAGACACAATTTTTGTCTATTATGAAAAGTTTTAAAAGGTTTATTCTACCCAAGTGCCAGCCTTTTGTAATGGATTGGTGGATCGGTGTAAGTGACTGCCAAATTTTCGAGGTTAGGTCAAAATTTCAGAATTGGCTAGGAGTTTGCCCAAAGGGAGAGGCCGACTTACTGATTACGAGTATCATCTAGTCTGAAGCGAAAATGCCCTCGGCTCGCCGTGCGCGTACAGCGCCTAATTAGCGAGTCTAGGAGCGGCGTACATGCCGCCCATCGGGTTTCGTATTAATTACCCCCGGAAATTTTTCTATTGTACTGTTACGCTCATCGCGCAAGCCGTGTTGGACTGGCCGATGTTTTTGGAATCTGTTTCCCTTTAGCTATGCTACTGAAGCGGGCAAAAGAGTAAGCCACGCCAAGGAGGCGATGCCCATTACCTCTTTTCGCAGCACGACTAGCATTAAGGGAAGACATATTTGAGCACAGCCTTCCAAGGGCGCGTGTATAGATATGTTTTTAGGGCTAACAACTGTTATGGTGAACCGAACACCAGTTTGCACCGAAATTTTTTATTGGCTTGCATTTAAACAATTAGATAACGGAATTGCCGGAAAATGAGTACGATGATCGAGTCATTAACGGACTCGGTCTTCCTCCTCACTCCCTTTAGAATTCCCTATTCCGCTTCTACATTGTCCCACGGTGGTGTCCGAGTCTTTCCCGGTATTATTAAACGGCTGTTGAAGAAGCGGTCATGTGGATAGGGGCGACTCGAAGTTTACGATCTAAAAAAAAAGTATTCCATATAATGAACCACCTATAAGATCCCTCGAAGAACCAGTGAAGATTAGCAAATCTTCTTCTTCTTCTTATTCTTCAGCGTTTGTCCCGCTTGTTGGCGGGGTCCGCTTTTCTGATGTGCTGTCGCCACTTTTCCCGATTAAATGCTTGGTCGGGGTGGATGTTAACCAACTTCAAGTCTGCGTGCAACGTATCGAGCCA